GTCCACGCGTTGGTCGAAATTTTCAATGACATTTTGCAACATGGTCGGTTCTATGGCATTTATCTCGGCAATGATGTTTTTGAGTTCTTGGGGGGTGGCTGGTTTGTTGGCGTAGACTTTGCTTTTCAAATATCCCCATAAAAAGAAGTCCAAGGGAGTCAAATCGCACGATTTTGGTGGCCATGGCACATTTCCTCTGCGCGAAATCACGCGATCACCGAAGAAGGACTGCAATCGATGGATATTGACGTTGGTTGTGTGGCATGTAGCACCGTCTTGTTGGAAATAAACATCGTCCATATCCATTCCTTCAAGTTGCGGCAAAAAATAGTCCTCTATCATCACGTGATGTCGCTCAGAATTGACGGTAACGGCGTCCCCGGCCGCATTTTCCAAAAAGTAAGGTCCGATGATGCCTTTTGACCACAATGCACACCACACAGTCACTTTTTGAGGATGCATCGGCTGCTCTTGATACTCACGGGGATTTTCGTTCGCCCAGATGCGGCAGTTTTGCTTGTTTACCGTCCCATTCAAAGTAAAATGCGCTTCGTCGCTGAACATGATTTTTGATGAAAAATTGGCATCAATTTGGCGGTGTTCAAGGAGCCAATCTGAGAACGTTTGGCGCGAAAAATGATCGGCCCGACGCAGCTCTTGTGTCAATTGGATCTTGTAGGCGTGTATATTCAAATCCTTGTGGAGAATGCGGAGCAAACTGGTTCTCGAAATGCCCAATTCTTGGGATCGACGCGTTGTTGATTGTTTCGGATCGTCTCTCACACTCTCTTTCACAACAGCAATATTTTCCGGTGTGCGAACGCTCCTTGGCCGGCCGGCAGGCCTGGCAGATTTGCCACAGAACCTGTTGCCTCGAATTTACGCACCAGACGACCGATGGTTGTTTCATTTGGGCGGTTGTTGCGACCGAAATGTTCAGGAAGCGCGCGAAACGTATTTTTTATTTTTGCACCATTTTTGTAGTGTTCTTGAATAACTTTAATGCGGTCTTCAATCGAATACGACTCCATAGCGATCAATGGTCAAAATTCAACTAACAAAATGACATGTCGGGACACAAAACAACAAAGATGGCGTCTATGTCAAATTGACGTTTACTTACGTCCTGCGTCCCTATTGGACAACCCTTTATAATCTATTTCCTCAACACTTTCAACCGCTTTAGGCTTGTGGAGGCCTCCGAAAGAAGAATAAATCCAAAATGTAATAATTAAAATAGAAATTTAATTTATTTGCTCTCCAAACTGGCGCAACAGAATTTAATTTTGTTTCTAATACTACTACTACTTCTTAAGATTAAAATTAAATTTTGATGCATAGTTAGCATAGAACAGGCTTTATGATTTATTTTTAAAATTTTAAATCTAGAAAAAAAAGATAATGAATATGGTTGAGAAGAAAACTTGCAGTTCCACTGTAGATGCTTCTTAATATATACCTAGTTAAAAAAAACGGGGTTTAATTCCCTATTAACGTAGAACCGCCCAATAATACAGAGTGTCGCATCGGGAACTTCATCGATAGATTTCTCGAAAAGTAGGCATATTATATTTTTGAAAATTTGGGAGTTTACTAATGTCGATGAGGCAACGGCAGCTAAAATATTTTCAAGATGGTGGCACTTTCGGTATAGTCAACTTGCTTACTTTAAATTCGACACCCTGCATATTACTCAATAGTCGGATTTTATATAAAATTCTAATCACATTTCATGTATAAATCTCCTATACCCAAGTCATATTTCAAATTTTATGTCAAAAATGACGTTTGCAGGCCCTAAAAATAATAATTCATTTCCCCTATGTAGAACCCCTTATTGTTTAATGTGGATTGAGTTTCTGGTAAACAGGGATATAGTTTAATAGACTTTTTATGATATTTCGATAATTATTTATAAAGGGTGCTCAAAAAAAATAGTATAAAAATTGAACATCAAAAATTGCCAAGAGTCGATTTTTTCAAATGGAAACCACCTATTTTTATAAGTTTATCGCATCAAGAATTAAAAACTAGCGTAAATTTAAACACGGTTATCTATCCCAAAAATGCTTACTTTTCGAGTAATTTGAAATCTATTACTTTTCTATTGTAAAACTCCCATGAGTACAGATTTAGTTTTTTAATTAGTTGGCTATGACGGCGGGATGCGGAGAACAAACAATTGCGCTCTACAAAAACGTCACTTTATAATAATGCATTTGACAGTTTATTCATAAATTATTAATAATAATCATGCCCGCGAGTTTAAATTTCACTTACGAAGACTATTTCAAATTATTTTGTTATTTATGGTGATTGCAACCGAGTGATCTCAAGAACATGTGATGTGTTTGCTCATAGATATCCAGAAAAAAGATGACCGGACGCACATACGGCTAAACGAGCATTAGAAAATTTCCAAAAATTCGGTTGTGTGAAGCCCAAGATTCAAATGAATAATCCTTTAGTTAACGATGAAGCCATTGAAGTAGCAGTTTTGAGGTTTTATGCTTTCCAATGATGTCTTTACGACAACCATTAGCAGAATTTTGCACAAACACAATTTTTATCCATACAAGCTATCATCATCCAACAATTAAAAAAAACCTTTTTTTTAAAGAATTCAATTTTGCGAATTGATTATTACAAGGTATCAAGAAAATGATCCTTTCCTGAAAAATATTATATGGTTAGATAAGGCAAAATGCACCAATAAATGGCCTTTTCAATCGAGAACCTTCATGTAATAAGAGACAGAAGCTTTCAAGACAATTGGCAATTCAATGTATGTATACTGCGCTGTCAGAGATAATCAAGTTGTCTCTCTACAGTTTTATGAAGAAAATTTAAATGGTAAGTTATTAATTATTAACAGGTTTTTTTTATAAAAGAAACTGATAAGAATGTGCAATATCCAAATACCAGAAGTATAAGTTTTTTAACACATAGGGTCAGCATTACCAACATTAGTACTAATTTATCTCATTTAAAAATATTTGGATATTAAAGAAAACGTTATGCAGTTATAAAAATTATTCTTAATACCCAATAATATTTTTAGATGAAGGTTATTTGAACATTCTTCGGAATTTAGAAAACAATTACTTGGATAATTTATCACTTGCTGATCATCGAAATGTATTCTATCAACATGATGTGTCCCACCCCACAACGGATACTTACATAATAAACAATTTCTTAGAAGCTATGTTTTACGATCAAGGGTTTGCTAGTAATGGACCATTCAAGTGGCCGTCCCGTTCGCCGGATCTAACAGTCTTGGACTACTTTATATGGTGGACAATAAAAAATATTGTTTACCAGAACCCAACCCACTGACCACTCTAGATGACTGTAAGCAGAGAGTAAGAAATGCATTTGCTAGTTTGAGTCCGGAAATAATAAGAACTGCCACTCATCAGGAGTTAATAATAGATGTTTTAAATGTTTAGAAGTTAGGGATGGTCATTTTAAACATTTACCAAAATACGTTGTTTCTTGTTATGGTCTAATTTTGTTTTATAATAGTATGAAAGTTAAATATAAATCGAAATAGCTTATTGTTTCCTGTTATTCATTTCACTGTATGAGTGATTGTTTGGAAATCTACTAGCAAACTTATCATAATTAGTCTTCATATTATTCCGATTACGAATACATGAAAATTATTAAATATATTATTATTAAAAGCTTAAAATTAGACGTAGTGATATTTCTGTTGCGCTCAATTGTTTATTCTCTGCGTCCCGCCGTCATAGCCAACAAATTAAAAAACTGAATCTGTACTTATAGGAGTTTTACAATAGAAAAGTAATGAATTGCAAATTACTCGAAAAGTAAACATTTTTGAGGTTTTCATTTGGAAAAATCGATTTTTAGCAATTTTGACATTCAATTTTTATACTAATTTTTTGACCAACCTGTATAAATAATTATCGAAATATCATACAAAGTCTATTAAATTATATCCCTGTTTACCAGAGAATCAATCCACATTAAACAATAAGGTATTTTACATAGGGGAAATGAACAATTATTTTAGGGCCTGCATATGTCATTTTTAACAGAAAATTTGAAATAAATATGTCAAAAACGGTTAGACTTGGGTAAAGGAGATTATACATGAAATGTGGAATACGTGAAGATATGATATTTCATCCCAAGCAGCAAATGCCTTTAATGTCAAAGCGTGGAATAAAGTAACTATTGTTCCGTTAGCTGCAGATTTGAGGGTATTAAGAGAATATCGGATCGACCAGAACAATTAAAGATTTGGGAAAAACTTAGTTACGCCTACTGAGAAAGTAGTAGGGAAAAGTTTTAAAAGAGTTGAAATGAGAGGCAACAGGGGAAGTGAAATAGCGGTTTTATTCAGCAAGAACCCAGAGTGAAGAACTACTTATAAGAGCGAGAACTGAATTTGTCAAAGAAGCGAATTAAGTTCTATTTGTTAAGCATTCTTCAAAGGACCAACCCATTGTAGGGTAAAAATTAGGCAAACATTTAGCACTAATCTCAATTACTATGTAAATAGATAATTGAAGATCAAGTAATTGAATGTAGTTCAAATTAATTTATAGCTCTTGATGATGATAACGTGGTTTATCGAAAGCTTGAGAATAAAGTTATACGATTATAGAAAAACGGACTTCCAGTAGCGTCATATAGGGGCCTGTATCTCCGTAAGGGGTCCCCAAAGAACATTTTTATAGGAATTTGAGGCACTATTTTTGTGTCCTCTATGCATTCGAGAAATTACAATGCTATCCTGGGATACCCTGTATAAAATCAGAGGTGCGAAGGAAACGGTGTCGAAATTTTTCCGCTGGATTCGCTTACATATAATCAAATGGCAGCCCGCGCACCGGAGCGACGCGACGAGAAGCGATGTATCACGTTTGGCATGTACAAATGACAAATGTCGCAGCGGTTCTCTTCACTTCGCTTCTCCTCAGCATGCAACTTGTGAGTATATTTGTCAGCAGAATAATGGTGCTTACCTGAATATCCTGGTTTATTGCATTACCAGAGCCAAAAAGATCAAAATCCTTTTCTGGACGTGTGACTCCGCTGTTATAATTTTTCCCTGGCCTGTACATGACATTCGTTATCTCGCGAGTGCTCTTTATGTCTTGCCAAGTTTTGTGCCTATTCAATTTGCGGTGATCACTCGTCGATGAGTCAGACCTTTGTTTGTACATGAACTGTTTGGACTTTCTGCTGTAATGTGAAAAACGAATTTGTCTATGCTACCGTTCAAATCTGGAAAAATATGGCTTAGCTTGAACGTTTAGAGCCAAAACAAAACTTGTACTGAAGTATTCTTGGAAGCCTTCAGGTTTCAAGTACAAATCAAAATAATGACAAATGAGTTTATTAAATTGAAAAATAATTTGACGGCATTTATTTGAATACTATAATTATTATCATATTACTTTTTTAAATAAAAGCCATTATCAAATTAATTTTCAATTGCATAACCTTATTTGTCATAATTTTGATGTACATTATGAGAGAGACTGCCGAAGCAGCCGAAACGCCAGGAAATCGGTATATTCAACGTCTGTGATTTCATTTATCGGCCAGTGTATGAAAATTGGATCAACGTAACTAGCTACGAACATACATTCCACGTCAACGATCACAATAATTATGAACCCCTAATATACAGGGTGTCTGCGAAAGGTTAGAAATCTCGAAATTGGAGATACTACAGACCAAAATATGCGAATTGACCAAAACATACCTTAGTCCAAAAGTTGATAGTTTGCGAGATACAGTATGTCAAAGTTACAATTTTATTTTCTATTTTTCTTTATTGCTTGAAAAGTATTTCAGATTTTGGCATAAAACTCGGTATAGTAAGGTTTTCTAGTGTGAGAAACAAGAATCCGTTATTTTATATGGCCAAACATCTAAAGGGCGCCACTTACAGCACTATTTCGGTAAATAACTTATCATAACTTTTTTGTGATACTCTGTATACAACAACTGACCGAAAAATCTTATATTGTCGTATTTCCACAAAAAAAGGTGCATTATTTGTACCATGATGATAAAACATTTTTATAACGTAATAATCAAGTTGACTTGGATAATATCTGAGTTGCGTTGCTATGGTTTCTAAATGTATCTAAGGAGCGTTGCTATGGTTTCTAATGTTGTCATAATATTGCTTCAGACTTCATGAATAATTTTAAGTTGACAATAAGTTGTTAAACAGCATGGAGTATACGTTTGATGAATATTCTTATATGCATTTAATGTACGGATTGGCAAGATGTAATGCTTTAAAAGCACGAAAATTGTACGCTGACATTCCTTAATAGTCACCTGCTTATTTCAAATACTTTCCAACGATTCGATCAGCGATTACGAGAAACTGGTAAGAAATGATTATTTTGAGTAGTAAAAACCATTTAGATTTTAGGTAGTTTTGCTCAACATTTGGGCCGACATAGTGGAGCTCCCAGAACTGTACATTCAGCTGAAGTTGAAGAAACTGTTTTAGATGCTGCGTTTGAAAATCCTAGATTTGGGGTTAGGAATGTAGCTCAAGAATTTCAAGTTTCCAAATGTACAATAAATACCATTTAATATTATTAATATTATTTTAGGACGAAGCAAGATTTGGAAGGGATGGGCCCATTAACTTGCATAACCTTCACATTTATGCAGACGAAAATCCTCATGCAATAATACAAACCCGCCACCAAGTACAATTTCAGATTAATTTATGGACAGGAATAATTGGACAATATTTCATATGGCCGGTTGAGTTACCACCTAGACTGAATGGCCAAAGGTATTTACAATTTCTTGAAGAACAATTAACCATTCTGCTGGAATTACAAACAGTATGAATATGTGGTTTATGCACGACGGAGCTTCCACCTCATTTTACTATATTAGTTAGAGATCACCTAAATAGAGTTTATCCAGACCAGTGGGTAGGCCGATCAGGACCTGTATCGTGGCCGGTTAGATCACCAAATTTAAATCCTATGGATTTCTTCTTTTGGGGTGATTTAAAACGACGCGTTTACAATACGCAAGTGGAAACTGTAGATGATCTGCGACAAAGAATTTTCCACCATAGCCAGGAAATGAAAAATAACACCCAAATGCTTTGGCGAGTGGAGCAAGGATTGGTTCGTCGAACTCGAGAGTGTGTTAGGCAAGGTTTTGAATAATTTTTGTAGTTATTATTTCCGTTTATCAGCTTTGTTGCGATCCTCATTTGTTATGGTCAAAAACCATACCAACGCTACTCAGATATTATCCAAAGCAACTTGATTGTTATGATATAAAAATGTTTTATCATCATGGTACAAATAATGCATTAGAACGTTTAAAAACAAATATCTCAAAAACTATCAGCTTGAGACACTTCTAACAAGTGAACCTTTTCTGTTGTGAAAATACGAGAAAATGAGATTTTTCGGTCAGTTTATCCTGAAATAAATTAATTATGATTAGAAAAACTGATTTGTCCTAGTCTAAACTGCTTCGGACCGAGATTTTTAACTAGTCTGAACTCCTTAAAAGGTAGCTACGTGGCTTTGGCTCGTTTAGCATGGTATCTTACAAAAATTGTATTGCAGGTAATTGTTTATTTTGTTGCGGTTTTTATTTTATTTAAATTAAATATTTTCATTTCAGAAATAAATTTGATATCTGCGCATAAACTTTTTACATATAGACTGATTTGGCCTAGGAAAAACTAGTTAATCCTAAAATCGAGTTTGTCCGGTAACATATACGTGCATCTCCAGCCGCCACAGATGCACAGAAAGTGGCGTGCTGGCCTCTTTCTGAAGGGACGTCACCATCAGGTAATTGTCGACTAATCAATCTGTTTTAAGTGCAAGTTTATGAAGTTAGGCGAATGTTGACACGACGTTTAGGCTAACGTTTCTACACTGGACTGTGTTGCTTGGGATGGCAAACTGGACTTAGCTTGTGAAAGCAAACTCCATATCAAAGATGCTTGGAATAACGTTGAAGCATTGAACTAGGTCCCTTGGGATAGCAACGTGGACCTGGCTTGTGATAGTCAGCTTCAAACCAAGGACGAACAAAGACGTTTTGGTTAAAAATTTAGCATTGAACTCCGTTGCTTTTGGTGGTAACTTTTACTTAGCTTGATCCTAGTACAAATAACAACTCTGAAAGCGTTTGGAATAACGTAGCGACTCAGTATGGTCAACAATCTGTTCCCATTTGCAAATTCCACCTGGTTTGTGATAACCATAGAACAGGACCGTAAGTATGAACATGACAAGATAGGAATCCGCCAACGTATTTTTTTCCTTATTGCCAGATAGAGATTTAATTTCTTATGCAAGGTTGGCGTTATATTTTGCTTGTGATAGCAAATTTCACCGATTTGTGAAAGCCATGAAACAGGACTGTCAGTATGCATATGACAGATTATTAAACCGTCGAAGTACGATTTTTCAGGAATAACAGATAGAGATTAGGTACAAAAATGAACGATCCAAGTTGCACATACCTCTTACATTTTCTGACCTCCAAAAATACCGCATTGCAACGTTGTATTAACGCAGAAGATGATCCTTGAAGGTAATGTCCGCATTCTATAAGGGCGCGCCTTGGTTTGATTCTGTCCAGTGGCGGCGGGCTATTGCTGTTGATAATGTGTAGGCTTAAATTTCCAATTGGTGTGACTTTCAAAGCAGATAACATCTTTATTTGTAAAATATCTCCACACTTGTGAAAGGCAAAATATTTCTTTCAAATTTCAATATTCGGGGAGAAGGATGCTTCTTGCTTTGTACACACAGGTTCAGCCACTTTAAGCGGAAATCAAAGTATATAAAATGTTTTCTTTTTCGAGAAATCCTCCCAAGATCAATACAAACACATACTTCGGTCATGATTTTTTAATTTTATTCAGCCAGGACTGCCTAGTTTAGCCAGATGAGGTAAATTAGTTCTGCGTTTTGAAAGTCACTGTAGGATTTAAAGGCACATGAAGATCCGCCCTTCCGTCTCTAACCTATGCGCCCATAGTGCCCGTGCGCAGGCTCCCGGGCTTGATAGGGAAACGTGTCCAAAAATCAACGATAAATTTTAAAAAGTGGTATTGAGGGGTCCCGGCACAGCTTAAGACGTCCCAAAATCCGCCTGACCCTAATGGTTACATACGTAAAAAATCGATACTCATCATTACACGCGATCTGTTCTTTAACGTCGATTCCAGACAAAAATTTTCGCCTATGACTTTCAAACCAATCTGTTGCTTACCTGCCCTCTACTCTTTTGTATGGATTTCACTAAAGAGAAAACATAATTAAGACATTCAGAAAATCATTTTGGGGGAGGCGATTGAAAATTGCAGAGCATGGTTTTGAGTCTTGATTCGTCCAGGGGAGTTACATTTCACAAACCGTATGGCTGTAATAAGTAAAGAGTTTTGGCAGGGGGTGTCCGACAAACCCAAAAAGGCTAACGATTCACGAAGATGTCCGTCTCACAGCGGAGGAGGGCGGGATTGAAAATTGCAGAACAGGGAGGTGGACGGTCGTTCATGTCCATTCGGCCATGGTGGGCTACATTTAACAGAACGTATCGAATGATGTAATATGTAAAGAGAAATATACCAAGCCGTGGCGTTATGCGGCCAAAGCTCCCCTGAATACGCCAGTGTGCCAATCATTTAAGTTAAGCTGTTCATATTGGGGCTACCAATATAGGAGCAGAGTCTTCGGGACTGTACGCCTAGTTCAAAGAGTTCCGCGTTTCTCTGTAATGTCTTTTTGATTGCACCGATCCAGCGACGACGGCGACATAAATAACAAATGAATAAGTCCTTGATTTAATTTTCATATTGTCGCATTAATCAAGGAAATCATCCAGTTTATTCACAAAATATTACCATAGCTTTGAGCAACAAAATGTTTCTATCAAATGTCAATAGGTATTAGTAGTGATCTATGGATCTTTTTCTTATAAATGTGGAAGGTGGAGCCACCAGCGGGGTGCGCTTATGCCGTCAGCCGCGCGGCACGTCAGAGTCAAAAGCTATATTTTCTGGCCATTAGGGACAATATTACCAGGTCTTATTTTTCGGTAGATCTACCGATATTTTAGTCCTATTCTCCGAACTACCGATTTTAGTGCGAAATCTACCAAAAAATCTTTCAGTATGCGTGAGAAGTAAGTGTTTATTGGAATCACTTCAAGGATTGGAAAGTGCTCTGGTGCAAGTACATAATATCTGTACAGAATTATCTTCAATTTATCTTCAATTTTAAATAACAAATAGTTTTTGATAAAAATTAAGGAATACCGTATTTTTTAGCACACATTATGTTGAGAAATACAACATATTCTTATTTCTCATGCCAAGAAACCCCGATTCATAACTTCCATGTTGTTTCAAAAACAACTTGAGCTGAGAAAAAAATATCTTGGATAAACTTGAACATTCTATATCTCAGCAACTAGGAACTTTTTACTAAAACACATTTGGTTCAATATCATTATTTTCACGAGTTGGATCACCCTGGATACGAACACATTAATAAAAAAAATAATACTTATAATTTAAAATTCCCAATTTCCACTTACTTTTTTCTAGACTCAAAAGGCATCTTTTTCTGAATAAATTTAGAGGCTGAAACATCCTTGTCGTCAGATACAGTTTTGTCAGAAGCAATTGTATATTTGTTATCATTGTAAAGACTAGAATGTTCTATGGTCATTTCATTTCCATTATCCAAGTGACTTTGTGCAGATCCGGATGTATTAATTATGTCCCCATTTCTGATATGTTGCTCAGATTCCAAAACTTGTCCAGTATTCTGAGCATCATGTGCAAAGTCAACGTGCATATCTGTAGACCTGCTAGATGTATCTGGATACTCTGTGAAATAATTCGTGTCTTCATTTCTTCTTTCTAAATTGCTTGAGCTTGGAGAGTTATTCAATGTTTCGAACGTGTTTGAGGACAGATGTGGCAAAGCAACCATTTCATTGATAGTTGGTGTACTTGTGGGTATCCGATCGCTGTACTCAAACTCATATTTATCTCTACTTCTGATGCTTTGCCTCTTTTGAAAATTTTCTTCTGGTATCACAGTAGACTTACTTGCTTCACGTATCGCTGATGTATCCTTGAATTGTGATGCAACAGGACAGACCTCCATTTTGTCACATTTTTCACTGATTGTTTTTCGCGTGTTGATTTCCTTGTCACTTTCAGTAACAAGTTCTACAATTGCTTCAGAATCAGTGTTTGTCACTTCGCCTATATTGTCATACTCCCTATCGTCTGAAGGTGGTGTCAGGATATTACCGAGGCTTTTCTCAATATCGTCGTTTGATGATGGCTGTTGACCTATATCTAATATGTGTTCCTGACTATGTTCGTTTTCGTTTATCTGACTGTCAATCTCACTAACTGATAAAGGAATATCATTGTGGGCTCTGATTTGCTCAACAGTTGATGTTTGTGATTTGGCAGTCTTATCTTCAGGTGAAGTAGAGATTGTACCCAAAAACGATAAATTTGAATGTATCTCTTCCGTTTTCTCACAAGGATCCTGAAAGGGAGATGAAGCAATTAAAAAAAGTGGTGTACACAATAACATTCGGGACAGTTTGTTCCAGTAGCGGATTAATAAGTGGCAAAATTGACATTGCCCCTTGCAGAAAGGCCACAGGCCCCTCAATATTGTAGCCCAAGCCATTTCTGAGGTCGCATTCCTTATACTGAACTATCCATTTTTTGCGAATGTACCTCAAAAGCTGCTGTAGCCAATTCAGTGTAGTGAAGTATTTGTAACGTAACTAACCTCTTTGATTAGCTTAATTTTATCAGGTATATATTTATACAGGGTGAATTCGAAGTTGAGTCATTTATTTTAACAGTGAGTAGATCTGATCAGAAGAAATGTTTTTTTCCTTTACCATTTTTCTGGTAAAATTAAAGTAACAAAGTTATAGCCCTTTGGAAGTTTGAGTACCGCCTTGTCTCAATAATAATATTATGTGCTCGTGTTTGGCGACAACGGATATAATCCGCCTTATCGGTTCATCGCATCGGAAACAAAAAAGCGAAAGAATTTGGAACGATGTTTTTACAATTATTTCATTCAGTTGTATACAGTCAGTGTCAGTCGGTAGTGAATAGTGGTGTCTGTTGCGTGGCTCAAACGAAATAAAAAATGGCACATGTTTATGCGGATCGGTTTCCCAATCGAGTGCAACCAACCCCTCGTGCCTTTGTTAATGTAGTACAACGGGTTCGTGAATCAGGTGACTTAAGATCTCACATATGGACGGCATGCCGGTGCTCCAAGACCTCACGATCAAATACAGGTCCGCACTGAAATACTTGTCGGGAGGATACTTTATAAAACAAGGTAACATTTTTTTTTTATTTTTACACACATATTTTGGTTTATCTTCCTTCTACAATCATTATCTGAAAATTAATGACTCAACTTCAAAGTCACCCTGTATATAAAGTAGAGAATCATGCGGTGAAAGGTATATAACAAATAGAAAAAATAATGGGCAAACTCGGCAAAAAGGACCACAAAAGTAGACACACTTGCCCATACTACAGGATACGGGTGTAACCTGAGGAAACGAAGATGGAGAGGGGAAAAAATGACACACGAAGTCCCCAACCAACCTTCACACTATAGTATAAAATGGCTAGAAGACCTCGAATTTTCAAGGCGACATCTAACCGCAACCACATGGCCGGTTATAGCCACTTGCTGTGGTACTTCAACCCAAAGGATCTACAAAGAGAAAATTATCATGCCGAGAAAGGTAAATAACAAAAAATAGAAAAATAATGGGCAAAATCCGCATTGTGGTTAGATGTCGCCTTGAAAATTCGACGTCTTCTAGCCATTTTATACTTGGTTGGCTCTTGTTGGGAACTTCGTGTGTCATTTTTTCTCCTCTCCATCTTCGGTTCCTCAATTTACACCCGTGTACGAATGCATGAGTATCCACTTTTGTGGTTACATATGTGCATTCATTTCGGGCCTGATGATGCCAACAAGCAGAAATACGTATTGCTCGGGTTACCTATCCTACTTTCTGCTCGAATCCACTTTCCTTCTTTTTGCGGATTTTGCCCATTATTTTCCTATTTTTTGTTATATAGTTATAACTTTCTCCGCATGATCAGTTTCTGTATATACTATATATTAGGGTGTTCCAAAAAAATGTAAGTTCTTTTTTTCAAACGCATATCCTCTAATTTTGGTTGAACAATGTCGAAACATTTGTACATAAAGTTTTATGTGCCTAGAACCAGGGCAAACCAGGTTAAGTTGCGTTGGAACATGTTAAAACTTGCAGTTCTAAAAGGGAATATTTTTAATAGGGGCCGCAAATCATCAAATTACCGGTTCAAAACTTCCCTCTAATGGACGATGAAATTAAGCATCAATGAGAGCGACAACCTTTCTATTCGGAGTGCATTATTTACTGGGAAAAGGCACATATACCGACTAAATCTCTACTTAACTGTGTTAAGAAACTAGTTACCTTATACCAAGTTTGGAGAGATTTGCAAAAAATGCAAGCAAAACACAATGTGTTTGAACAACGTCGACAAGAGTATGTTACGAACTTGGACAATCTGTTTGATATATAATAAATGAAGATAGGATCTTCTTGCAGCAGCAGAGAGAGCCAGGTCGACCTGGTCATTTAGCTGGGGTGCACAAGAAATTAGCCATAAAAGAAGAGGCGCGTGTTAGGAACACCGAAGAACAAGAGCGGCGAGCCGATACTAATCAAACTCAAATGGAGAAGAGTTTCCAAAAATAGTGGCAGCATTAGAAAGGTGTCATTTGAGTATGAGAAATGCTGTTTTTATTATTGAAGCAACCAGTAAGGCACTTGGACATAACACTGACGAGTTTCCTATAAGCAAGTCCTCCATTCAAAGAATTCGTACCGAAAAGCGAAACGAGCGCGCAGAATCTATAAAGCTTGATTTCCAAAGCGAGGTACCGGATACTGTAACTGTCCACCGGGATGGCAAATTGTTGCCACCTTTAAATACATGCAAGTCTAAAGAAGAACGTCTATCCATAATTATAACCTATGAAAATAAAGGGTGTTATAATGTACGAAAATAAAGAGCAACTTTTCGTTGTGCCCCATTTGAATACCTCTTCAGGCAGCGAGCAGGATCTATCAATTTGGGATGCTATTATTGACTGGAATCTTGAAGATAAAGTTCAGATTATCTGTTGTGGTGCTAATGCTTCAATTTATTCAATTAACGGTACCTGCATGCTTCTCGAACAGAAATGCTTATTTTTGCTTGCCGCAATTACGACTACAAATTGGTGTTAAAAGGCGTGTTTGAATCAAAGATCTACCAAGTGACTACAAGCCCTGAAATTCCAATGTTTAAAAAATTTCTCGATAGCTGAAAAAGTGTGGATATGAACTGACCAAAGAAGTTGCTAGAGAATCGAGAATTAATAGAACTTTCAGTAATATTCCTTGGCGGAGATACAGAGAAAAAAATTAAGATTCGACTGCCAGGCGCCATGCATCAAGCTCGATAGATGCAAGCTAATCATTAAAAAAAGCGTTACTAAGATCTCAGCTCAAACTTTCTAATAAGGATTAGGCAGCTCTGTTAGATATCTATCTGTGCATCCTGACAACATACGTGAAACCTAACAAGGATTTATGCTTTTCAAAGGCAATGAAGGCTTACGAAAGAATTGAGAAAACCATTTCAAAAGCAGCTTTACTAAAGTTCTGCTAACATTTATGGTATTTGATAGATGAGGTATCCGTCTTATCTCTGTTTGAAGACGATGTAGATTAGGAAACCAAAGTAAAAATTGTTGCTAATATAGCCAAAGAAAGTCCATCAGCCCACGGTAAACGCTACATTCCATCGAAGAACTTTCTGACCCAAGCATAAACTGCAATCTTGAAACTGAATATATGGCACCTTATATTGTCTTGGTTCGATAGATCTTATACCTCAGATATTAGTTGCTTTGCTGTGCGCAAAATATCTGTCTATGGTTGACTGCCTATGGTCGGACGGACAAAACCAGTATGTTTAGATGGTAGCTATACCAGTAATACGTCTACAATGATTGATCATATTTACAGTAACTTTAACAATAGAGGTTTGTCTAATGTTTTAGATAACCAAATATCGGACCACAGAAGCATTTATTTGGAATTGGATATTGTTCCGGCAACTTCTGCATACATCTGTACACATCTGGCAACACCGCCTGAAGAACGAGACAATGTCTCGGAGACATTCACGCGCCGACCATCAGAGCAGACGGGCGTGGCAATCGAGCAAAATCATTCAGACACAATACATACAATCTATTGTTACATTTAGTCAATATACAATAAGCAATCATCAGTGTCAAAGTTCATTCATCAATTCATATACAAGGCTTGGTCCTTCGAGCGAAGATCACCGTTTGTGGGAAGCAGCGAGTTCAGATCGCCTTCAGCTGAGAGTCCATACCAAAAAGGAACAACAGCAGGGATCCGCATACCACAGGACGGACGGCGAGCAGCCAGCGAGAAAACAAGTCAGGGAAGTGAGCATTTCCATTTTCATTGCCTTTCCTTCCTATCAGCACTGCTTCATTTCTTTTTGCATTTCACGTGCTTTTTCTCGCATTCATACATTCAAACCCCATTCAGCCATGGAATCAGAATTAAGATCATTAAAAGTAAAACGCGGTGGAATAAAATCATGTTTAACCATTTTTTCAAGAAATATGTATCTCAGCTAGACAACGCCGATGAGCAGGTAATAAATAAAGTTGAATTGAGAAATCGTCTAGACAGGACAGAATCTTTGTTAGATGAATTCAATCAAATTCAAGCTGAAATTGAGATTTTCATAGATTTAGAACCTGAGTTCCTCGAACGGGAACAGTTCGAAAATACATTTCATACAGTGGTCGCGAAAGCCACACAGTGTTTGATAAAATATGACGACAATCAGTCCTCCGCTTCGGCGGCGGCGGCACCAACGCGCACGCAGGTGTCGTCTGGGCGTTCAGGCGGCAGCGGCAGCCCTCCAACTTCTGTGCATACGAGGGGCGATGCAAATGTACCGCAGATACAGACGCTCTCTATAAATGATGTCACTTCGATAAAACTGCCCAATATAAACATGCCTCGCTTTTCAGGTGCCATTGAGGATTGGATTGAATTTCACGATGCATTTGAGTCTCTTATTTTGCATAACAGTCAAATAGGTGATTATCAACGTTTCGTATATCTGAAAGCGGCTTTGTCGGGCCCCGCTTTAGATGTTATCGCGTCAATCAAAGTTTGCAAAGAGCATTTTTCAGTTGCATGGCGCAGTCTATGTGACAGTTATTCAGACAAAAGAACTTTAGTTCATGAACATATCAAGGCTCTTCACGCTATTCCGTCTACAAGTAAGGAATCTTCAACTGGTCTAAGGCAAATCGTAGATCATGTCAACAAACATGATCGTGCTTTACAAAGCTTCAATGAGCCTACCGCGGATTCATTGTTAGTTTTTCTTATCACGGACAAG